ATTTCCCGTTCCGCGCCCCCCCCCCCCGCCCAGAGGCCTTTCAGGGGCCTACATGAGCGCCCCCCCCCCTGCCCCGCAACCTCCTCTACTTATATTCTGGACACCTCCCCTGGCCCGAAGTCTGAGAGAGCCTGGGCTACTCAAACCCCTGGTCTGGGTGTCAGGAGCCTGTGGTTCTGGTCCCGGTTCTATTCTGGGCATGCTGTGTGGTCTAGAGCAGGTTCTTGCCATCCGGATTTGAGTTTTGCAATCTAGAATGACAGAGGACCAGCAGCTCAGGAGCCTCCCTCTATCTCTTGCAAAATGAGTGAGTTCCTGCCTCTTGGAAAACATGTGGTACCTAACCACTGGAAAGAAGCTGGGATCAGCAGGCAAATGACTACCAGCCACCCTGGGCCCTAAGTTGTGGTCACCATCTCACCACTGAAGTCACCCATCTCCAGAAGAAACCAGAATTGTTTCATAGAGAGGAGGTGGGGGGGCGGGGTAGGACTGAGTCCTAGAAACCCTAACCTGTGTCCACAGACAGTGACAGCCCTCGCTGCCTCAGTGGTCCTGTGACACTTTGTTGATTCTCAGGCTCACAGTGCTCCAGTCTGCTGGGTGACGGCGTGAGGAACAGCCCAGAGCCAGGCTGCCCCCCCAACCCCAGGGCCTTTCATCCATACTCTCAGGGCCTAAAGGTGTTTATGTCCAGCTGGGCTCTTAGATGATAATAGGTCCAAGTTTTAACAAGGCTTATCACAAAGGCCTCAAACGAAGCCCTAATTTGGCTTCTTTTGTGTGTGTGCTGAGAGCCATCCTGAGCTGCAGAACATCTCAGTCCTCTCCGAGAGAACCAATGTGTGCATGCACACACATTCGTGTGTTTATTATACACACACATATGTTTATAGTCGATATTGAAATAAAGACGTGTAGCACACAGTTTTACAAATAGACAATATTCTTCATTTCAGTGCCATGTTTCCAATTGCTTCTTAGGCAGGGCTTTCTTTACTTTTTTTCCCCCCAAGCTTGATAACCAACCTATGGTTACAATTCCGGTATGGATGCAGTTGTGTGAGGAATAGTCTGTGTTGTTATTGACTTTCAAGAGTAAGACAAAATTTAAAAAGCAAAGCTACTAAGATTTATGTAGCAACTTCATTCCTTCTTCAGTGATGGTCAGTCAGATCCCATTTTTCATTACAGCAGCTACCAAGGCTCTTGTTTAAATGTTCTCGGTGTGGTTAGCATGTTCCCATTGCTTTCTTAAGCCTAACCACCGACAGGGCACCAAATCAAAGCCCAAGGTTGTCTTGCCTGCAGACTTCTGTGCCGAGTCCTCCCAGCATGGCCTTTGACCAGGGAGGTCAGCGACTGTGATTTTGGAGAGAAGTGCCCATTACTGTGACTCCCATCCAAGGTCATAGAGGCAGGGGACTGAAAGAACTAAATAATAGGCAAATGTAGCAAAATAACTAAAAAGTGGTGAGTTCTGACTGGTTAGTACCTTTGTTTTTAATGTAATTCATCTAACAGGATGTTTGTAGAGCTGGGTTGGATAGCCAGCTCCTAAACTTTCTGGGCAGTGGGACTCAGCTCCAGTACCACTGGCCACCCAGGAAATGGAAGCTCCCAAGCCTTAGCCCCAGAGGAATACCTAAGTCCCTCCACTCTTGGCCATCTGATGAGGGAGGCTGATGCAGGGTGGCAGGGTGACTTGGTGAATTGCTCGTGGGTGTGAGTGCACTCCTATGCAAATCTGAAGCCTGTTGTGCTTCTTTAATTTTATTTTTTAAAATTTTATGTGTTTGAGTATGTAGTGCACCCATGTCATGCAATGCCTGTAGAGGCCAGAAGAGGGCATCTGATCCCCTAGAACTGGAGTTACAGACAGTTATTAGCCACCATTTGGGTGGTAGGAACCAAATCCCAGCCCTCTGCAAAGCAGCCAGTGCTCTTAACTGCTGAGCCATCTCTCCAGCCCCCTGTTGTGTTTCTTGATGTAGCTGCAGTTGCCAAGCATGGCAGGAAGCCTGAGTGAGGAACAGAGCAGGATCTTCTGAGTCTGCCAGCCAGAGACCCTGACTTCATCATTTCACTAAATGTGCCCAAGAGAATGACTTTCAGAGATTGTTAGAATGCAGATTCCTGATCCTTGACCCTGGATATTAAGATTATGAGGGGACAGGGACTTGCTGTCAGCACATCTACCCAGTAGCCCAGACTAGGAATAAACCTGATTCAGGTGGCAGCAGGGCCCAAGCTCAGTGAGCCCCTTTCAAAAACCACATGCTTTTGTCTAAGCATCTCCTGAGGCCTTGAGATTAGCTGATCTTGAGGCAGGAGCCCCAGCAAGCAGTGCTTCACAGATACTACTGATTCTTCCTCCCTGTACACACTGCAAGATCACCAGCATCCTCTCTGCCTTACATATGGAGATGCTCAAGGCCCCTAGCTCTTAAATGCCTCTCTAAGGCCCAAGCCAAGTAAATAACAGAGCCAGATGAAACCCAGGGCTTCCTGCCTTGAATTTAGGTGTGTATTCAGAGAATGGCTTATCCAACCACAGGTTCAAACCAGTTGGCAGGTCCCAACTAGCTCTTGATTTTTCTAGCACTCTTATTATGAAATATAACCAAATAGATTATCATGTATGTATTACATAGTAAGTGTTAATGCCAGTGCATGACACTTCAGTTCTGCAAAAACATTTGTTAGTCTGCTATATGCCAGGTCAGTGTAAGGTGCATTTATTCTTGTGACTCATGGGCAAAAAAGTCTTGAAAATTCTCATTTCAGAGATTCCATTAATAGATGAGAAGTTAGCTCAGTGACCTATAAAATTCTGGAAGCCTCCATGTGGGAAATTTAAAACAGAAACACCTCTGCCATGGAAGAATTCATCATGGGATTATTGCAGCTCCCCTAATGAGTGTTTGTCAGATGAAGAGGTGGGTCCAGGTCAGTGCTGAGCCATAATGGACATCTACTGACATCTGAAAGACTAAGAGTAGCATCTATCACCAAAGAGAAAAAGGACCATGTGCCCCTCTGGGGGCTGAGCTGGCTGATGACCTCTGGCCTTGCTTTCCACCCATGAATGATTCTCTACCAACAGCTGTACTGCTGTGTCTCGAGAGTGAGAAGTGAGCAGCCTAAGGCCTGTGTGATCAGTGTAGCTCTGAGGCCACCTGTGTGGGAATTACAGGAAACTTGTGAGAAATTAGATTTATTGCACACACTCCAACCTGCAGAAATGGGGAGGAGTCTGGGAACTGACATTCACATGACTTCCCTAGTGATTCCAAGCTTGTGGGAGCTGGAAAGGCCCTCCCTACCATGGGCTTGCTATGAGACCTAGAAATCTGAATCAGAGATCCCTCCTAAAATGTTTGCCCAGCAGCTAGCACCTCGGAGCCCACTTAAAGATATTCATGCACACCTTCAGGCTATATGTATTTAGCCACTTTTCTTTCTCATTTTGAAGAGTTCCTATTTCCTGGGGATTAACAGAGACCCTCCTGTGTGGATAAAGCCTTTTGGGGTAGCTATTATGCCTGGTATTAACCATACTTGGGCCAAACAAGCCATGTGTGACAGCAACTTTCCACCTGAGTGCCACTCACCTGGCTGGATGGCCTCTGTTGCCATGCACCAGCAAATGACGGCCTTCCCTTCCCAGCCATGTAAACTGTGATGCGCCTTCACATGGTCATTTGCTCCCCTCTGGTGACAGAAGCCCTAGTGATTGTGACTTCTGTTTGCCCTTTGCTCCAGCATGGGGGCAAAGAGGGCAGCACTTCTTTCAAGCCAGGGCCAGTAAAACCAGGGTATTCTGATTCCTCCTGAGATGCTGTTCCCACATCTAAATGGGAGAAGGGGATAACCATCAGTGATCTTCCTGGGCTAAGGACAGGAATGGGAGACCTCACTTTTCAAAGAATGTGTGTCCAGTAATGCCTTTTCTCTCCTGTCTTATTGCAGGACACAATGGACTTGTGGCTGTGAGTACCTCTGGGGCCCCACTTCACTGGCCCCTGGGCAAGTGGTTCCCAGCATCTGAGTTGTGGGGGGCGGCTGGGAGTTGGTGAGGAACAAGTGGGATAAAGGTCACATGAGAGAAGGACAAGGCAGCCTGTCCACACATCCAGTGCTGATCTGGGGCTGGGATGAATATGCATCTGTAGCCAGTTAGGGAAAACATCATAGGCTTCTTCCCTGCCCTTTTCCTAATGTGTATGGTCCTAGTGGCCTATGGGAAACTCTTAAGGCTGGAACAGGTTCTCCCTCCAGATTGGAGGCAGTCTGCAGAGAGTCCTGCATTCCCCAGGTAAGAAAGGACTCAAAAAAAACCCAATATGGGATCTGAGAAAATAGGAGTTTGGTCTAGATTTGATACTATCAGAAAGTGAGAACAACCTGGGAACCTTAAAGCTGATCTGTAGGGAATGCCACCTAGGATGAGGAAGAGAGTCCTGCATTCCCCAGGTAAGAAAGGACTCAAAAAAAAACCCAATATGGGATCTGAGAAAATAGGAGTTTGGTCTAGATTTGATACTATCAGAAAGTGAGAACAACCTGGGAACCTTAAAGCTGATCTGTAGGGAATGCCACCTAGGATGAGGATGCTGGTGACTGGTAGACAACCACCATACAATTTGACCAAAAGAGGGAGTGTCTGGTGTTTTGTAGATGGGACAGAGACCTGCTTGTGTTTAGCTAGAATCTTGCAGGGGGCTTGCTTGTGCTTGGTCTCATTTTCCATGGTCTCAGAGCAGCCTGATTTGCAGTGTTGTTCTGTAAAGTAGTTTGTGCATCTTAGAACAGCATGGCTTACCTCTGTATGCCAGGCCAACTTCCCAATGCCAGGAACTCCCCTCTTTTGTTCTCCATGTCAGGAGAATAGACTCCCAACACTGCTACTCAGCTTGTCTGAGAGCCTAAGGTAAGCTGCTTCCCTCTCTGAGCCTCAGTTTCCTATCTGTAAAGGAGAGAGAACCACAGAGACTACCTCAAGTACCCACATAGTAGTTACCAAGTGAACTTTTCAAAAAAAGACTTCTGAACTTCACTGTCCCCACTGTCACATTGATTTCAGTTGTGGGAAGCCACTCACTATAGGACTGTAGGCTCAGAGCTAGCTCAGTTCAACATGTATTTATTGATGTAACAATAAGTACTAGGGAGAAATTAATAGAAACTCTTACATCAATTGTTCCTCCAAATAAAGTTCTATTATAGCCACAGCTTCCTTTTTTGCGTAGGCACCAGGGACCAGTTAAAGCACTTGTTAGAGAGCAGCTAAGGCAACCTTCACGGCAGCCTGTGAAGCAGGAAAAGCAGAACTGCTATTGTCAGCCCTACTTTTGTACATGAGGGAACTGAGACCAGTTGGATCAGGTACCAGCAGAGAGAGAGTACGAAGAGTTGAACCTGAGGAGTCTGGCTCCATGTCCTCAACCTCACCATACTGCCTCTTGCTGTGCTTGAGTAGAGGAATAAGGCTTGCTTCAGCCTAGACGAAGAGGACAGCTGGAGGAGAGGGACATCCAGGGCAGGGTAGACAGGATGCAACTTGAGTCCCCAGGGTATCAGGCTTCCCCTAAAGAAGGAAAGCCACCTTCAGCTGGGAAGTGGAGGAGCAGAAGCAAGCATGCCAGATCTGAGAAAACGTCTAGACATCTAAACAGCATGAATCAAGAATGTGGTATTGGCCCTGCTGCGAGATTCCATAAGATCTCAGTCAGCCCTAGTGGATCAAGAAAGGGCCCTGTATCCTCCTAGGCAGCGTACCTACAGAGACTGGGGGTGAACACTGTGGTCTTCGAGCGGCGCCATGTGATTGGGGGTGCAGCAGTCACTGAGGAGATCATCCCAGGTGAGCCCCAAGAAATTGGGGGAGAGGGAGGGGATGATGACCACTGGTGACTGGTTCTTTTGATTTGGTTCCAGGATTTAAGTTCTCCCGAGCATCCTATCTCCTTAGCCTACTAAGACCACAGATTTACAAGGACCTGGAGCTGAAGGTATAGCCACCTCTCCCCCTTGGCTTGGTAGTGGTATGGGGTGGTGGCTCCATCTTCCTGATGTGAGAGGAAGGCTCCATATCCCATGCCCTAGGCAGCTCCCTACCTGAGATCTTCCTTCATTCTCCCTCCGTGTTCCATAGACTGGTTTTGTCTCACCTACCCTGTGTTTTAAAACTTGGGAAATCTCAAATGAAAAACAAACCTCTTTTGAAGAACAAGGTCTGTCCACATCAAACCCTGGATCTCCATGGAAGAGCCTGGCTGGTGCTTTAGGCAGGGGCTGCCAGCTCAGCCCTCACTCCCCTTGCCTCCTGGCATCTCATCTGGCCCTCATAGAGGACCTGCCTATTGTCTTTGGCACCTGAGTTTGCCTAACATAACCTCAGCAGACTTTGGAGTCTGCTGCCATTCTTGGCAGCATGAACAGGAAAGTGTGTACTGAGGGCACAGATTCCCCTTTGCAGGTTCTTGGTCTCAAAGATAAAAGAATTCTAAAAGAGACACAGAAAGGAACTTGGATACAATTTATTGGAATTACAGAGAGGGTGCCATGAGCAGGGGTATCAAGGTATCAATGGAAGGAACTAGAAGATGGGGGATGGAAAGCTACACTTTTATAGAGTATAAGTACCTAGGAGACACAATGTAGACACATCAAAGAAAGACAAAGAATTGGGTACCAGGGCTTTACTCCTGGTAGTTTTTCCTGAAGGGGTGCAAGATTCCCTCTCCTCAGGGTAACATGGGCCTCAGGCACCCCAACTTTTAAAAAGAAATATATTTATTTTATGTATGTGAGTGTTTTGCCTGCATAGATGTAAGTGCGCCCATGTCATGTCATGGCCACAGAGGACAGAAGAGGCTGTCAGATCCCCTGGAACTGGAGTTACAGACAGTTGTTAGCTGCCATGTGGGTGCTGGGAACCGAATCCAGGTTCACTGGAAAAGCAGCCAGTGCTCTTAATTGCTGAGCCATCTCTCTGGCACCAAGGTACCCCAAGTTTTAAGGCCAACCAAGGAGAACGTATTTAACCTTGGTATTATTTGCGTTAGACTTCTCGTCCACTAACAGTTGCTCTATGTGGCCCAGATCTTGCAAAGTATCTAAAAGAGGGAGGAGTGATAACTAACTCTTTATCATCCTCAGTCTTCCTTTTAGTGTGTGTCCAGGAAGGAATAAGCAACAGCATTTATCAGCATTTATTTCTGTCCGTATACCTTTTAGTTTTGTTAGCTTCAAGCCAAAAGGGACTAATTGTATTTACTGTTTACCCCTTAGCTCTGTGGCCACTTTAAAGCCCTGCCTTCACTTGTCTTTAACCTCACCATTAGGAACAGGCAACTGAGGGTCCCATCACTTGCTGTGAGGCCATTGCTGGTTTAATTTTAATCTAGCCCTGGAAGGCCAGCCCTTGAAAAGTCGCAGGCAGCTTGGAGACTTTCCATTGCACCACCTGAAATGAAATCTGCTTCCTTTTTAATCTTCTAATTATCCCCTCCCCTACCAGCAGTGAAGGTCTGCAGGCAGCTGCCTCTAGAAATGGGATTTGGGGGTTAACAGTGCACGTCTCGTTAAGGGGAGATTTTTCCTCACTTGTCTCCTTTTGTTGTTGTTGTTGTTGTTGTTGTTGTTACCCTTTGGCTTTAGGTTGGCCTTATTTTATTGTAAAACAGGATTTTTTTTCCTTTAATGGATATGGAGAGGGTCTTGCCTGAAAGGAGATTCCTCTCACCTGGTTCAGACTTTTGTAGAGGGAGTTATTGACTACCCCTATGTCATCTGTCTCAGAGGACTCTTGCTTCTTCAGGCTCCTGGGCTGTTTAGAAGGAATCCTGGAAATTCTCCACCTGTCCATGTTCTCCTACTGTCTGCTAACCTTTGTCCACTGCCCCCCTGCCCCCCTGCCACCACCCTTCCCCATTGCCGCAGCCTAATGAACTCAGTCACCTCATTCCTGAGGCCAGCTTAGCTCCTGTCTTGCTAGTGGGGCTGTCACCCATCTCAGAGAAAAGAACGTCAGAGCCACCTGTACTGCAGAGCGCTGCACACGGCAGCACCAGCTTTGCATTCTGGCTGAATTCAAAGATGGACATGAAGAAGGCACTTAGCCACTGCTTACAGCTCTTTGCGCTAATAGATTCAAGTACAAGTAAGTTCTGTGAACTGGGTCACTACCGAAGCCCAAATTAAGAAATTATTATTTGAGGAACTGGAGAGATCTCAGAGGTTAAGAGCATTGGCTGTTCTTGCATAGGACCCAAGTTCAGTTCCCAGCACTCACATGGCAGCTCACAACCATCTGTAACTCTAGTTCCAGGGGATTTGACATCCTCTTCTGGCCCCCATGGGCATTACATGACATGGATGTACTTACATACATTCAGGCAGAATACACATAATATAAAAAATAAATATATTGATAAGTTTTTAAAAGAAATTATTATTGAAAAGAGGGAGTTCATGGTACCAGAACTAGAAAGAAATTAACCAAGGTCTGGGAGCTAGGTCCAAGGTCCTAAGTCCATATCACACTATAGCTGAAGGTAATTTGTATTAACAAAGAACCCATTCATGATGGCAGATGTCAGGTGCCAGAGGCAATCTCTGCCTCCCTCCTGTCCCATCACAAATCTTTTAGGCCTCTTACCACCTGTATTCCTTCCATCCATGCTTTACTGGGGAAATCTGCCTGAGGCCTGTCAAACCTACAGGTCAGTAAGAATAACCTAAGTACCAGTGGGGAAGTGGAGATTTCTTTTCAAAGGGGCCTTGCTTAGAAATCTGCTTCTGTAGATGTGGTGGGACATATGTGGTGGGACATAGGAGCAGCATGTTATAGCATTCTCAAGTCATTCTGAACCAGAAGGCCCCAGCCACAGCTTTTAAAGCCCCACAACTCTGGTCTGTGGGTTACAGCTCATCTGTTTCTTTACCCTTTTCCATCTGGGACGGCTGTGTGTGCTGAGAACCTCACAGGTCACCAGAGAAAGGGTCTGCTTTTTTGTCATTACTTAAGGCTAATTACATACCCTGAAAAAAACCTCCCAGAGCCATCCTGTGGGTGTTTGACCTCCTCCTATCCTCCCCTCCTCTCCTCTATTCCCTTTCCTCCCCCTCCTCCCCTCTCCTCATAATCTAAACCATTAAGAATGACAAAGGTACCATTTAAAAGCCCTAGAATCAGTCAAAAACTCATCCTTGTTCAGTCAGTTGCATTTGAAATAAAAACTTGGCTTCCTGGGGGGCGGGGGGCGGTGACAGACAAGCCCTGGGGGAAAAATGGTGGGTATAGTGAGGAACCTGAAACATAGTAAGAGAATGTCAAATAGAGGTACCTAAGTGGCAAGAAGAAAAGAAAGGCTGTGTGGTAAGGAGAGTTGAGGGTCTACCCTAGCCTGGTGACCAGGAACTCTCTAATGAGGAGATGCCACGTGAAGCGATGCTCAAACCCCAAGAAGTCACTAGTCAATGGACATCCAAGCAGAGAGAGTTCCAGTCAGGAAAGTAGAGGTAGGTAGCCAAGGCAGGTGTGAGCAGAAGGTAGGCCAGTATGACCAGAGATGTTGGACAACAGGCAGAGGAGATGCAGATGACAGAGAGGAGGCAGGGCAGTTCACACTGTTTTATCCAAGAGCAGTGGGAAGTCAGAAGAAATGTTTAATCCGGAAGTAGAGTATGGGATCCATGAGTCCCCTGGGCCATGGTAGGGACAGGACCAAGGCTGTAGATGCATGAGGCAGCTGCTCTGTGAGCCACAAGATGGCAGTCTGGGATGAAGGCAGGTGGACTGGAGTGGACAACTTCTGCACGCAGAGCTGGTGAGATTTGGCAATGGAAGGGTTGTCAAGGGTGAGGGAGAGGGAGGAACTAAAAATACCCACTGCAGTTTAACAGTTCATCATATTAGGACAACCCAAGCTAGATGGCCTTCCAAGCTGGAGTCGAGATTTTGCTACCTTAATGTTAGAAAAACCTGGAAGGTCTCCGCCCAGCCCCTACCCAACTCGGGACTCAGGTCTGCAGAATTCTCAGTGCTTGCATGAACTTGTCGCTGGAATGTCTTTGGTTTGGGGCAACTCCGGGAATGTTGGCGAGGTCTTATTTTGGCTTCTGTGTGCTTTCCTAGCACTTCCACTCACAGTCCCCTGAGGCCATAGCTTGCCAGCAACATACCATTTCCCAACCCAGTCAGCTTATGGACTGTGCTGAGCTCATGTGAGGAGGGCAGCAGAAGGCAAAACAGACAGTGCCCCAACCTCAAAGAATGCTCTACTCAGAGAGATGGCGACAAACCCATATAATCAACTACACGGTGACAAGTGTATTGGAGAAAGTACAGGATGAGGGGACTAGGAACACTGGTTTGAGGGAGGGTCCTTCCTAATAAGGGACATCTGAGCAGAGTGCTCAAAAAAGTGGGGGAGCAGATCACCAGTCAGGTCAAAGAAGTCTCCAGACAACGACATCGTTAAGCCCAACTGCTGTTAGCACACAGGCCCCCTTTGCTGTATCTGCCTCCTTTGGAGAAGCAGATGTGCTCTTGGAAAGTTCTGTGTGCTGGTTCAACATCTGTAAATCAAATCAAGGGATGCATTTAAAGTGACCTTGTAGTAAATAAGACTAATGTAAAATTTTCAATTTATATAAATAATTTATCTACCTTATACATGTATTTTCACATAACCCCTGCCTGATTTTGCCTTTCTAAAGTTCACTTATTAACTTGTGAAGTGAGGCAGTTGTAGAACAGTGCTTCAGGGCCTGGGAGTCACAGAGATATGATGGGACTTTGAAATCCAGTTCTACTTCCTAAAGTGAGCTGGGGCAAATTACTTTTCCAGACCTCCATTATGTAGTTTGTACAAAGAGGCTAGTAATACCTCTAGAGTTGTGTGAAATGTAATTGTAGATCCAAGTGCCCTCCTAACACAGGGTAAGTATGGTGTATATGGGACAGAGTGGCATGGTATGTATAGGGCAAAGTGGTATGGTATGTTATGGTATGGAATACATGGTATAGTATTGTGTGTCATGGTGTAGTATGATATGGTGTAGCACCATGATACCATATGGTCTGTTGTTGTGCCTGGGTAAGAGAGTTTTTTTATAAACTTCTACTTGGCAATCAGGTCTATACACCTTGGGACCCTTCGCACAAGTACCTAACTAGTCATACAAACACGACTGTAGAAAGGCCAAGGGTTAGAAACACAGATCTCTAAAACGTCTATGCTATTTGTGTTCCGCAGAAACACGGGCTGAGACTTCATCTTCGAAATCCCTACTCCTTCACCCCTATGCTGGAAGAGGGCACTCTGAACAAGGTGCCCAGGTCCCTTCTTCTGGGTACAGACATCACAGAAAACCAGAAGCAAATCTCTCAGTTCTCACAAAAGGATGCCCAGGTAGGAAAGGTGCCCAGGGATGGAACACCTTCCTTACCAGCCCAGAGGGGGCTCTTGAGAAAAAATAGACCTGCTACAGCTGTTCTAGAACACAATGCCAAGGGTATGGGTACTGTGGATGGCTCACTCCATGCTAGCCTTTGACCTTAGGAACTCTGAGAGGAGATGGTGGACACTGGTTAAGACCAGTGGGGACCCTCACATGTATGTTCATATGCAGCCGCTGTCCAGGTGGTCTCTGCATGCAGAATTTCAGAAGGGAATTCCTGGTGCACACTTGCACTGTGAGCACCTTCTGTCTCTGCTGCTTTCACTCAGAATCCCAAGTGCTACCTACCCAAAAGCCTGTGAAAGCCCACGGGAAGAACTTAGGACAAGAAAATGTTCTTTTTGTTTGGCAATAATCCTATGACACCCAAAGCAGGAAAATGTCCGTGGTGTTGTGCAGGTCTGAGAAAGAAAGAACACATGTCAGATGGAGAACACACCATTTCCTTGCATCAGAGCCCAGAAACCTGTTTGGTAGCTTGGCCCAGAGGAGTCACTGAATGATGTAATGGGGTGGGTTCTGCAGTTAAGGAAATATTCTTTGAATGGCCGTTGTTGTACCAGCCTGGATTCCAGCTGAGGTGTGGCACTGAATCCTATCTCAGTGGGAGCTTGTTTATGAGGAAAGGTTGGTGCAGTTGATGCCCTTGCTTTCTGCTGCACCAGTGTAGCATTGGGTAAAGCCCAGACAAGCACGGGCAGGAGCACGCACCTCTTCTTCAGCCTCCTAAGCTTGGCTCTGTTAGTTACTGTTCTCATGGCTGTGACAGAATACCTAACAGAAACAGCTTAAGGGAGGAAGGATTTATTTTGCCTTGTGGTATGAGAGGGCACCATCTATGGTGCACGCGCGCTGGGCACCCTGGCGTGGTGTGCACGGGCACGCCTGGGAGTCGTGGCGCGGGTCCGGTCCCCTGGTCTCAGCTGCGCGCCCTGGAAGAAGGCATCTCCGTGTCTCTGTGGGTCTCTGCTGCTGGAGCGTTGTCCAGCCGTGTACCGCCTTAATTTCCCCCCCGTGCGCTTTCCTCTTGATGCGAGATCCACTGGCCACTGAATCACGCGGGAGAGCGCAAGGCGGCTGAAGCTGGGATCCGTGAGCCGGTGACGGAGGAATGCTGCCCCCCGGGGAGACTAGATTGCAGGCAGGAGACACAGACTCAGTCCAGTCAGGTTCAGTGCTACAGCTCTTTATTCCAAGTCTCAGTGACCCAGTTCCTGGTCTAGCTCCAGCTCCGCTTCTAGCTCCAAATTATTGAGAGAAGACTAGGATATTTATACCATGGGGGTAGTGGTAAAAGCTTTGGCTGATAGATACTCTGTGAGACATTCTATTTGCATATGGAAGTGGGTTTCTGCCATGCTGCCAGACTGCTGACTACCTGAAAAATCACACAGGAAAGCATGGTATTCCTAGAGCCAGAGGCCATGTTTATGTTATGGCATTTGTGGCGGGCACTTCAAAAGGAGAGTCAGGAAAAATGCCAGGAAAGCACCCTGCTATGAAAGGAGTCTCAGCACATAACTCCGAGCTCGTGAGCTATCTGGATATGAAGAGACTTCTACTTCACATAACAGAGGCCCCCAACAACCATCTATCATGGCGGTGAAGGCATGGTGACGGGAGTGGCTCATGTTGGAGCAGGAGTGGGAGGCAGCTGGTTATACCTTGTCAGCAAGCAGGAAGCAGAGACCTCAGCAGAAGTAGAGCCAGCCCATAGCCCCCGAAGCCCACCTATACTGTCCTAGATCCTGCCCAACAGCCCATGTCTAAAAGGTTCTGCAGCCTCCCCAAAATAGTGCCACTAGCTAGGGACCAACTGTTCCAATATCGGAGCCTGTGGGCAACATTTCGTATCTAAACCGTAACACTTAACTGATAGCAGATTGTCATCACATAATTATGAGCACCTTGCACAACGGGCCGAGGACCCCTACCTCGACCTTCCCCCAAATCCTACCAGTGTCAGACACATTAGATGGGAGGCTGTGCAAAGCCAGGTCTCATTGGCTGTGTCCCTGTTTGCTAGTGACTACACAGTGGGAGGCCAGGACCCATTTCCCATTGTGGAACCCAGTTTCTAGTTTTGTGCTTGAAAGTTGTCATTTTTGTAGGCCTGGTCTAGGAAAGCTGTTGAACTTTAAATGTTCTTTACTGTTCTTTACTATAGAACTTTATGTAACAGCACAATTTCCCAAGTTCATCCATATATATAGATGAGCCCCAATTCAAAGTTCTGGGCTAAGAACTTCTAGCAGTGCAGACTTTCATCCCTGTTGTTATTACCCAGCCTGTGAAAAGAGGTCAGAGATTGGATCGTGGCTGTGGACAATAGGTTCTGCTGTGGGAGCTGCCAAGTAGGAAGATGCATGCTTTCTTGGCTGCATGGGATAAGATGACATGTCAGACTGACAAACCAGGAAAGAGCAGTCAGCATGCTGAAAGAGGGCTACCTTCTACCAGTCACATACAGAAGAACAGAGAGAGAAACTTCCAGATGGTTTTATCAAAGAGCCTAGACCCTCAGACACTTGCCAATTTTCTATAGCTGATGTTGACCCACACTGACCTCTGGGCCTTGGTGGCTGTGCTATTGCACAGGGCTCACACAATAGATATGGAAGTGGGAGGACTCGGCAGAGCCACAACTGTGGATAAGGCCTGAGGAACCATCAGGGCTGCACTGGGGGGTGTGGCAGCTGCATGGTGGTGGCACAGAAAACAGAGCATAGGGACAATGACTGGCTTATGGAATGTTGACCTGGAGCTCTATTACAGGCCTTTCCCAGGTACGAGGAGTTCATGAATCGCTTGGTGCTGGCCATCGACCCCCTGCTAGATGCAGCCCCAGTGGACATGGAGGTCTTCCAGCATGGGTCCCTGCTGCAGAGACTCAGGGCACTGTCTACCCTGAGGCCTCTGCTGAAAGCAGGTGAGTCCAAAGTGCAAGAGTAGGGGCAGGCGTGGTAGCATGTCTTTAATTCTAGTACTCAGGAGGCAGAGGCAGGTGGATAAATACCTGTGAGCTCTAGGCTAGCCTGCTCTACATAGTGAGTTCCAGGCCAGCCTGGGCTATGCAGTGAGTTCTAGAAGTGAGCTCCAGGCCAGCCTGGGCTACACAGTGAGTTCTAGACCAGCCTAGGCTACATAGTGAGACCTTATCTCTTTAAAAAAGAAAAAGTGCAAGGATTAGGGTATGGGGAGAAACGGTCATAGAAACAAACCCACTTTTTAGAGGAGGCCTGTTGAATGTGGTCAGCTAATAGACTATGACCCACAGAGACTACCATGTACTTTCCTAAGACCGTTTCTGCCTTACCCTAAAAACAGGACCCAGGACAAGGGCTTATGTTCACTTAGAAGGGTTACCCCCCCACACATACACACAAGAGCAAAGAGGAAAGAAACTACACAGTGTGCCAATATCAGAGTGTGTGATGGCACTGGTCACCATAGATGACAAGACTCTGACCCTGATGGGACCCTCTGAAAAGCCTTACAAAATGTATTAGAGGACCAATGCCAGGAAAAGGAAGGGGGCCCTATCACCCATTGGTCAAGGGGTCACCCGGTGAGATGGTACCTTACCCCTGGACTGTGCATCTGTCGATGACCTGACATAGCCCCAGAGAAGCTCAGTGAAGAAAGAAAAGATACATTTTACAGGACTAAGGTCTCACTTGATGTTACTGGGGTTTCAATATATGAAGCAGATCAAAGCCTACATGGAACTCGCTGCCATAGCCATGGCTAGACCATGACGAAAGGGCCAAGAGAATGTGAAGAGCTGCCCTCCTATGAGAAGGAGGCCTAAATGCAGACAAGAGAAGTTCTGTTACCGACTAGTGAAGTCTGCCATGGGTCTGTCATGGGGTGTCATGGGATGCTGTCATTTTCTAGCCCCTGTAGGGTACACAGACATATGTCTGTATCCTAGAAAAGCACTGAATTAGTTAGCCATGGTCACAAGAAAAAAAAATCCCATAAAACTCTAGTGGCATCTTAAAGTAAACATTTCCCATGAGTCTTTTGCTCCAGTGGTTCAGCTGATCTGGTCTGGCCTCATGCACATGTTTGTGGCTGAGGGAGATCAGCAGTGCCAGCTCTGCTCTTGGTATCTCTGGTCCTCTGTGTGGAAGGAGCGTGCTAGACTGGACATGTGCTTTGTACATCCATGAAGGAAGCACAGAGGGCAAATCCTGATGTCTAGGCCAGTTCAAAGCCTCCATTTGTGAAACATTTGTAAACACTCCACTGGCAAAGTAAGCCACATGGATGAGCCCAGAGTCAAGGAACAAAGGTGGTCAGGCTAGCTACAGAGAGTGAGTGGGTAGCACTGCAGTTACCCTGCAAAGAGTCTGAAGATGGAGGAGCTAGTGGACTCCATCACGAACACCAAAAGTAGATACTGCTCTTCAGATTACCAGACCAAAAGCTTTGTGCAGCAAACATTCATATGATACATATTAAGCAACTACTATTGCCAAATGCCAAGGTATGCACAGGGACTATAATGACCAGAGCCTACGCCCCTGTAGCTCAATCACTAGTGATTCATATCTGTGTCAGGAGACTGGACACCTTAAGATATCAAAGTAAGAGAGTAAGGAAGGTGCAGGTCAGTGTCTTCCAAAACTCACGCTAGCAACTAAAATGTGTGCCCATGAACTTAAACTTTCCACTCTCATTGACTCCAAAATAGCATATGAATCATGCCTCCTATTACAAAGAAACAGGTTCAGAGACGAAGGTGGTACAGAGGGACCCAGAGCCTCCTAAGGGGAGGATACAGCCAGCTCTTGCATATCATACTGCCCCTACCAGAAGGCTCCGCCTCTTCCCATTTTTCCTATCCTAGGGACAGGAGTAGAGTCTCCCTGAAGCCTGTTGATTTTTGTGCTTCTCTTTCAGGATGCACCCTGGGAACCCAGCTCCCCCAGTACTACCAGGTCCTCACAGCCCCCATTTCCAAGGTGAGTGCTACCTAGCCGCAGCCCAGCAATGGCCTAGAGAGGTCCCTAGGCCATTGCCACCCAGGCCCCTGAGCCTTCTGTAGCTTTGCTCTCCAGGTGCTGAACCACTGGTTTGAATCTGAGCCTTTGAAAGCTACTCTGGCAACAGATGCTGTGATTGGAGCCATGACAAGTCCTCACACTCCAGGGAGTGGGTGAGTGGGGCCCAGGAAGAGGCCACTGGAGTAGAACACACCTCCCATGAGAACAAAGGCAGGGGGTCACAAAGACTATCATTTTCTGAGCTCATTCAATACACTAGGCATCAAGCCCAGACCCTTCATACACGATGAAACCTCAGAGTCACATCTAAGAAGTAGAGTTCAGAGAATTATCCTATCCAAAGTCACACAGTTACTAAGTGGCAGAGCCCAAGTTGTCTGACCCCCCAAATCTTCCTTCTTAACCTTCCATGTGTCATTAGGAAAAAGCCTTTCCCTGCCATCAGCATCTTTTGATCCTCCTCTTCTTCCTTCTCTCTCCCGACTCTTCCAAAACCCCACTGTAGCCTCCTCTCCCAAGACACACTCACACAGCTGCCTCCTATGGACAGGAAGCTAGCTGTCTTTCTCTTTGTGAGCAGCTGTGTGTTTACAGACCAATCTTCGAGGGGCATTCAGACACAGGACTGTGGTTGTGGTTTGAACTCCCAAGCCCCTTATAAGAGCAGGAATGGAAGGATGTGTGCCTGGTGTGTGCACACACGTGTTTGGAGATGGAGAGTGCTGCCACACGTTGGGTCATTTTGAGTGCTGTCAGTGTGGCTCATTTCTCAAGGGGTAAGAGTGCCCCTAAGAGGCAGCTTTTCAAGACAGGTCAAGCCAGTCCTGAACTCCCCAGGGCCATAGAGAACAGTTGGCGGTGGTTCCTGCAGTCTGCCGAGCTCTTGACTAACCAGCCAATCTGGATCTTCTAGCTGGACCTCCCATCCTTTTCTTTTTGGGTCTCAGGGAAGCTGAGTTACTGCCCAGTTTGTGAAATGTGCCTTTAAGGAATTCTTTTCTTCATTTGTTTAAGAGCAGCTGATGAGCACTTGCCTGTGCTTGGTGCTCGGGATGCAGTAGTGAAGGGACCAGAAATTCTAAGAGGAGAGCGACCCACAGCAAGTAGTAAGGAGGAAGTGTGGAGACTGTTCTGATAGCAGGCCCAGCAGGGAAACTTACACTGCTCTAAAGAAGATTTGCACGAAGAATGTTTGATACGGAACTAAGGCAAGAGGAGAGATTTGTTCAACAAAAGAGGAGGAAGGAAGGGATTCCAAGCTGGCAGCAGATGCAGAGGTTGGAGTGGCATGGACAAGTGCTCTGTTCCAGGAGCCAAAGGGACTTTGCTTAGTAGGGGTGTGGAGTGAGCATGAGGAGGCCTGGTGTCATGACACCAGGCAGAGCCATGGACCCCATGTGATGAGACTAGCCTTTACCCTCAGACAACACTGTGCAGGACGAAGGGGCTCTGGGACTAGGGCTCCAGGCTCCATGCAGGATGATCTACAGGGGAGCAAGGATGGAGAAGGAGCCCCAGGACCCTGCTCTCGCTAAGGACCAGACATGAGAGGTAGCCAGGAATGGCATCTGAGCATTCTACAGAGTCAGGACAAGGTTGACACCTTGGTCTGTTGAAAACCTGGAAGAACCTTCACTGGGATGGGGACAGTTGAAAGAGAACAGCTCAGAGAATGGTGACAGTCATGGGTTTAACATCCTACCAGGAACACATCTGAATGGAGATGCCTGTGGGAGCTAGCGACAGGCTGGGGCTTAGAGCTGCGGGGTGAGCACGCCATGTGTAACAAAGCTCTGTGTCACATATGTGTATGAGGAGAGTATGTGGCATGAGAAGACTGAGCACTTTGATGAGAGCTTTGAGCTCGTTTAAAGGCTCAGAGCTAGATGGGGAAGGGAGATCCTGAAGGTCCAGGATGGAAAGGGGTATTTGAAACTAAAACTGAGGCGAAAGAATCCCCCTCATCCTCTGCCTCTGTGCTCTACCCTCAGGTATGTGCTGCTGCATCATGTGATGGGGGGCCTGGAGGGGATGCAGGGTGCCTGGGGCTATGTCCAGGGTGGCATGGGTGCCCTGTCAGATGCCATTGCAAGCTCAGCCACTGCACATGGAGCAAGTATCTTCACAGAAAAGGTACAGGCACCTCTCCTCAACCCTGATCATTGGTCTAGCTATAGGATAGAGAAGTCAAATTTGGAGAGACCCTCAATTTCAATTTACTGATGATCAAAGTAGGACTCGGAATCCAGGGTCCACACTTAACGCATTCTGTTGGTGGCTAAACTGTTGTCAGCAAGGCCCATTCTTCTGGCCACCCCTTTGAATGAGTTACTACATCATCTTTGAGCTGTACTGCATTTGAGGGAGTAGGTCAGGCTTCCCTGGGAAGCTCATAGCTTAGGGGCTGAATTGGGCATGAGAAAGTATGGGTGCCTAGGAGCTGTACAAACAATGAAAATCCCACCATTCTCAACCTGGGTTTTCCTTCCGGGGGGTTCTGGGGCCTCTTGCTGGGTTCCAGTCAGTGGCTAAGGTGCAGGTGAACAGTGAAGGCCGTGTTCAAGGAGTCGTGCTACAGGATGGCCTGGAGGTCAGAAGCAGAGTGGTGCTGTCCTGTGCTTCACCACAGGACACCTTCCTGAAGTTGACACCACAGGTAAGACAAGTCAGGGTGGAGGTAAACTATCTGCCACACCAGGCCTGGAATAGGGAGGTGGGGAGCCCAGACCACATCAGGTGTGAGACAGGAATGCTAAGTCTTCTCATTTGGGGCAGTGGGCAGGTTATAAACAGAGAAGCCTCATGGGTGAGGTGGCATGTGCACAGAGGGGAGGGGACATAGACCATGTAGCTGGCAACAGGCCAAGCCAGCCCCTGTGGCCAAGTCTGGTTTCTGATTCCCACTGAAAAACAAACAAACAAACCTATAGTCTAGGCAGATAAGAAACCTTAGTGTGCAGACCTGGAGAAGTCAGTTGATCATGGCTGAATTCAGTTGTTGGGACTTGCACATAACCTGTGGTTGTGAAACAGCTAGTCAGCTGGACTTGTTCCTGTGTCTAGGAACTCACTGGCAATTGCTGGTCCAGGACAGTCTCTGCTGAGAGATGGGCTCTGCTCCATGCATCTTTCAGCCTCCAGTACAGGAGTTCAGGCTTGTTCTCAGGCCTGGTAGAGGGCAGCAGCCAGCAAGCTCAGCCATGCAAGCTCAGGATTGTTTAATCTGGATCCATTTTATTTTCTGGCATTAGCTAAGTCCAGTCTTGCAGCCAGGCCCAGGGTCCGTATGGGAGAATACTACAGAGAGACACAGAAAGGGTCATCACCCAGGGAAGGCTCAGGACTTAGGATTTTATTGCAAGTGGCCATACCTTCCCTGTCCGCAAAAGTATGTTCCTGAGCAGGAGGTCTCATCCATATCCTGAGCCTGTTCTTGGGAGCAGAACATTACCTTTTCTGAATATTTCCACTAACAGAATTCATCAACTGTACTAGAGAAAGTAGTTCTAAGCCAGCAAGACTCTGCAGAGCTTAGGACTGGGAGGAACATGGAGAATGCAAATGTCTGTCCCTGTTCCAAGGGCTGCCTCCCAGCCAGCACTGTGGGCCAAGCACAGAGGAAGAAATCTTAGTACAGAACAGGAGGTATCCAGGAAGACTCCACAGAGGAGATGGTTTGAGGCTGAGCTCTGAAGGATGAAGACGATTTCCTTGGCAGAGGTTAAAGGACTGGTCTGAAGAGCTTCTCTGGGCCTTGGCTGTCCCAGGACTTTGACAGAGCCTTCTCCTTCCAGGAGTGGCTTCCCCAAGCCTTTGTGGAGGGAATCTCCCAGCTGGACACCCAGTCTCCTGTTACCAAGATCAATGGTAAGAAGTGCCTGACTGTAAAACTGCCATTTGACACTCTGTGTGGGGAATCTCCAAGTCTGGGAAACCCCAGCCATATCATCCACTCCTCACCCTGCCCTCTAGCCTGCCCTTCACTTGAAGGGGAAATTCAGTCATACTTTCAGATTTCTGTTTCACCACCTGGGCAAGCAGGTCTTGGCTATAGAGAGAGGACCGTGTCTGGGCTGGGGACCTGACCCGATCTTTTGGTCCCTCAGTGGCTGTGGACAGACTCCCCAACTTCCAAGCCACCCCCAATGGTCCTAAGGACCAGCTGAGGCCCCATCATCAGTGTTCCATCCACCTGAACTGCGAAGACATCCTGATCCTCCATCAGGCCTTTGAAGATGCCATGGGTGGCCTGCCTTCCCACCGGTAGGCTTTGTGTCTCCTAGATATTCTGATGCAAGGGCCTGAGGTGGTGGTCACTATCCAGTCCCAGCAAGGACTGGCCTCTTCCCCCTGTCACTAATCCCTCACAGTGACCCAGGATCAATCTACCCAAGTCCATCCTTATGTTCCAAAATCAGGAAGTATGTCTAAAGCAAGAAATACATGTACCAGGGCAATGAAGATAAAAGATTAGGGCTTGTCAGGGAATGTCACAGGTTAATGAAGGGCAGAGTCTTGAGGAGGGCAGCAGTGGAATTAAGATGAGGAGAAACTGCTTTCTGGAAGCAAGGAAGAGACTGATTCAGCAACCTGACAAAAGGCGCATGCTCACTCAGCCCCTAGTGTGTGTCCCCTCCAATGTCTGAGGAGCCCCTTCATCTGAGCTCCTAAAAGCATTCCCCCCTCACGTGGTTGTGTCTTCATCTTTCACAGCAGACAGCAGGCAGAGCTCTTTGGGGCCCACACTCCTTATCTTCTACGTTGTTCAGCAAGCATGTGCTGCAAACCTACTCGTGTTAGGCTCTGCACGAGACACAAGTTCAGGGACCTGGGGTGTGAAATAGACACAAATCTTATGAGAAGCCAGGCACACAAGCATTCACAGTGTAAGGTGAAACAGGGCAGATGCAAGGCAAGATTGGTCCACTCAGTTAGGACCATACTCTGTCATGCTTGATTCAGGAACCCAGACACAGAGCAGAAAGCAAAATCAGCAAGACCTCTGCCTCCATGGTTAACCTTCTATTGGTAGGAAAACAGTCAGCAGCATTCACTGAATATGCCCTAAGGAGAAAAGGAAGGCAGGGAGGGGAGGGCTGCTTTTTAAAAGGGACGGCCTCTGATAATGTGACTTTTGATCAGAGAACTGAAGGAAGCAAGAAGGCAGGTCACTGTGGATACTTGAGGAACACCCAGAGAGAAGAGCAGGTACAAAGGCCCTGGGGCATGGATGTGCTGCTATGTTTGAGGCAGAGGGACATGGCTAGAGTGGCTGGAGTGGCGTGGGGAGGACCACAGTAGCTGGAGCCTATTGGCTTGTCTGCCACCCCTGGATTTCACTCCAGGAGGGTTTGTGCTAAGCCTGACTTTTCTTTTACAAGGACCTCCCTGGCCACTGTGGGGAAAGGGAAGGACACCTGTTATAATTGGTTACTGGTGCAGAATGCAGGGGAAACAGAATGGTGGCTGGGACCAGGATGAGGGTGGCAGAGGTGCCAGGCAGGGACCAAGTACTGGGCGTGTTTTGAAGGTAAAATGGATGAGATTTGCTGTTAGACAGGAAGTGGGGGCAGGGAGAAGGGAGATAGGGAGAAACAAGTGGAAATTTATGAGAAGGAAAAGAGGTTTTGGGGGAGAAAATTTTGAGAGAGGATACTAAGCATTAGGGCTTGAACAAGTGACACAGGAGAAGCTAGCAGATATCCAGTGTCACAGGATAAGTTGTGGCTGAGGGAGGCACGTCTGAGAAAGGGCATTTCAATATGGCCTTAAAAGATGCTCATACAGTCAGGGTCTCTAGGAATATTCCACCACCCCCTAATCCCATGGATACCAAAATCTGTGACACTCAGGTTCCTTCCATAACACAGCAGAGCCTGCATTTAACCTCCCCACATCCTCCTGTGGACCCTCAATCATCACTAAATGGCTTACAGTAATACTCAGTTCAATGGAGATGTTGGGCAAATGGCCACCCTGAGATATTGCTTATGGAATGATAACCAGGTCAGGGAGAATCTGCATATTCAGTGCAGATACAGTTTTTGTTTATTCATAATATTTTCTATCTGTAGTTGGCAAATTCAGAGTCCACAGTTATAGGGGGCCAACTAGGTCTATAGATCTGAGGGAATTGTGCTTCAGGTAGAAAAGGCATTGGCTATAGGTAATGTGGTAGGCCACACACAGGGCATCATACTGCGAGGCTGGATAACTCTCACAGCTCTGCTCTGGCCTGCTCCAGAGAAGGTCCCTGGGCCAGGAAGGGGAGGGTCAAGCTTAGTTGAATCCTGGCCCTGTGAGCACCTGTTGTCTTGGGGCCTGCCCCTCCGTAGTTCTCACTATCTGGACCCTGTAGGCATTTGAGTAGGGAGACCTGATTAGAGCCCAAGTCTGTGGGGAAGAGAGACCAGAAGGGCCATGCGCTCGAGGCAGGTAAGGAAGGACCAAAGCCCTGAGGCCTGGGGCCAGCATAGGCTGGAGGAGTTCCATAGTGGTTGTCTGGACTCTCCTGTGGTTGCTAAGTTCAGGCAGGTAAATGACCGCTATGGTCTCACAGAGACAATTAGCCCAGGTTAGCCCTCATTTTGTCTCATGTCACCTCAGCATGCCCTCCACCCCTGCTCTTCTCTTTAGTCCTGACCTCCTCTCCTCCCCTGGCATCACAGGCCAATGATTGAACTCTGCATCCCTTCATCACTGGATCCCACCTTGGCTCCTCCTGGCTGCCATGTTGTCTCCCTCTTCACTCAATACACACCCTACACCCTGGCAGGAGGCAGGGTCTGGGATGAGCAGGAGAGAAATGCCTACGCAGACAAAGGTAAAGATGGAGATAGCAGCTGCTCTCCTGGGTGATAGCTGGCTAGGGGACCTGCAGGATACCCCCACACCTGGCCTCATTCAGAGTAAACACTGCATCAGCTATCCCATCCCAAGGGGAGAGACATCAACATGGTATAGTTCTGCTGTGTTCAGGCACTGAGCTAAGAAAACCCAAAAGACACAGTTCCAGGCCAGCAACATGGCACAGCAGTAAAGACGCTTGCCATGTAAGCTTGATGTCCTGAGTTCCATCTCTGGAACCCACGGTGGAGGGAGGAAACCAGATCCTAAAAGTTGTCCTCTGAACTCCACAAGCGCACTATGGCACACTCATAGCTGCACACACACACACACACACCATCAATAATAAAAGTTTGTAGAAGATGATGGCAACACAGTTCTCGCCCTCGAGTTCCTCACAGTCTAGTGGAAGACTAATTAAGAGGCTATGGTACATTGTACTTTATAGACCCAAAGGAAGAAACCACGAACCAGAGACAAGGAAAGATTTCAAGGGAAGAAACATTTAAACTGGGTCTTCAAGGATGAATAGGAGTTGCCAGAGTGCAAAGGGCATCCCAAGCAAAAGAAACAGCTTGGACAAAGCAATGGGGTGAAAAATAGTTCACATATTCAAGAGGAGACAAACAGCTTTGTGCTTATGGTTAGGATAAGAAATGGGAAGAGTGGGGCCTGATTGGTCACAGACCTTTGTGTTAAAGTATTTATTTGTGGGGCTGGAGAGATCACTCAGCAGTGAAGAGCTCTGACTGCTCTTGCAGAGGACCCAGGTTCAATTCCCAGCACCCACATGACAGCTAACAACCATCTGCAACTCCAGTTCCAGAGGAATCCAATGCCTTCTTCTGACCTGTGCAGGCATTGTGTGACATGGATACCTTCATACATGCAGATGATACACTCATACACATAAAAAATAAAATATTTTTAAAGTATTTGCTTATGGACTAGTTTTAATTTTATTTTTTACTTATTGGGATATAATTTGCATAGGATAAAATAATACCCTTGACATACAAATTTTAATAAATCTTAGTAAACCTACAAGTTCTACAACCTTAACATCTCTTCTTCCCAATACTTTTGCTACCTGGGCTCCTCAGTGTTTGACTGCATCGAGGCCTATGCCCCTGGCTTCAAGAGTTCTGTGCTGGGCAGAGACATCCTCACCCCACCAGATCTGGAAAGAATCTTCAGGCTTCCTGGAGGGGTGAGTGTAGGCCTGGATCCTCCTCTTGCCCTCCCTCCTTTCCTTCCTTCCTTCCTTCCTTCCTTCCTTCCTTCCTTCCAACCTCTAGAGTAGAGAAGGATGGGAAAGATACAGAATGGGCTTTTTCTTTAGTAGTAAAGGATTTGTTGCATAGGACTGTCCTGTAAAAGACAGATCATAGATAGACTGCTGCACCCTTTCCATTTTACTCAGCTTTACACAGATGAATTTATCAGGTTCATCAGGAAGGGACCACAGTGGCAGAAACCACAGCTGAGTGGGGATAGAGGAACTAGGACATAGAGACACAGGGGACCCCTGAGAAGATCACCAGGCCTGTGGCACTACTGCCTAACTTCCTCCTTAGCCCCTATTAGAGAGAGTCCCTCCCTCAGGAAGCGGGTTCTTGTCCTGTGCTTCCCTTTATCAAACTAGATGCCCAGAGACCAGGAACTGGAAGCCCAGCAGGGAGGCCAGAAGCTTGAGAGAAGGCTAGGATCCCTGTGAGGAGTCAGGATCTGTGTGAGGAGGCTGGAGCCCCATGTGCAGCTCCCACCTGGCAACCACTGGCCACTGTAGCTTTGGAGCCCTGGCAAGGCAGTGAGGCCAGAGCGGGCCAAACTGCAAGTATGCAATGCATATCAGCTGGAAATGCAGCGTGGACACAGTGGAGCCATTGAACTAGTAATTTTGACATTGATTACATGTTGATATTATCATATTTTAGATCTATTAGGCCAAATAAAATATACTATTGACATAATTGTCACCAATTTGCCTTTTATTTTTTTAATGTGGCTCCTAGTAAATCTAAAATGACATACGTGGCTCTGGTCATGTTGGGTTTTGGGGGAGGCTTTGTGGGGAGTGGTTTGTTTGTTTGGTTGGTTTGTTTGGTTTGTTTGACGGCACTGGTACAAACAGCAGGGAAAACCAGTGGGAGGGAGGGGAACTGCAGGGACTTTGTGGGAGTAATCAGCATGAAGTGGGTGAGAAGTGTTGATGACAAGTACCCTGGAGGGTGAACATGGCCAAGGATGCACCAGAGGCCAAGGACAGCAGGACAATGTGTTCACCAAGGCAGGGAGGTGGGAGGGGAACAGGCTTGGGAAAGATGTGGTTCACATGGGGACCAGGCGAGGAGGCAGCCAGAGGGACATCCCTGTGGTGACATCTAGCAGATGCTGATCTGTTTGTCCAAGATGTGCATTGCCTCCTTTCTGGGTCCAGGGCCAGTCGGGTCCCAGCCAAAGAACAGGACCATGCTCAAGTCCCTTTGTGCCTTGTCTGACACTAACAGTGATAGAATGTGGACCCCAAGACAAGGCTCGGATGGCAGCTTAGTCAAAGACCCATGTCCCAGTAGGAGCCTGTGCTGACAGAGCTAGTCACTCTCCAGTTACTCCAACAAACTGGAGGAATTCATGGTCCATAGCAAACCCTTACAATCACCCCCTTTTCTTTTCTACTCAATTTCCCTGCTCTCTGAAGAGGCCCCTACTCCTCTTTTCACCTGAAACACACATACCACTGGAAGCTTCTCCCACAGCCCAGGTTATGTCCCTCTTCTCTCTCATCCTCTTCCTTCTTTGCAGTTAAGAATCCAGGAAAATAACCAGGAAGCAACAAGAGCTGGCTTAGATAACAGGAAGGGGAAGAGCCCAACCAAGGGGGTAAAGTCCATTGCACTCCTATGCTGATGACTGTGGTCCTGCCTCCACAGAACATTTTCCATGCTGCCATGTCCCTGGATCAGCTCTACTTTGCCCGCCCAGTGCCCCAGCACTCCAGCTACCGCTGTCCTGTGCAGGGCCTGTACCTCTGTGGAAGTGGGGCCCATCCTGGTGAGTGACTCAAAATCCCACTTCCTGTGTGTGCTGCAAGGACTTGAGGGTTCGGGGAGGTCAGAGGCCTGTAGACAGAGGAGGATGTGGGGAGCAATCTCTGTGTTCAGAATCATCCATGCAGGGTAATTTACGCACACGAGTATCTCTGCCAGGCCGCCACACCCTTCAGCTTGGTCCACATCTCCTCTCACCTAGGTGTGGGGACACATTCTGATGGACAGTGGAGGCAACTCTTCCAATCCAATCTGGGGTTATGGTAGACCCACATGCCTAATTCCCCACACATATTTGGGACCAGAAAGAACCAGTAATGTTTCTCAGCTTTAAAATTCTTCCCTGTATCAACTCCAAGCATAACTGACTTCACTTAGGCCATCATTTCCTGGTGACACTGTCTCTGAACTGTGGGTCAAAGGTTCCCAGAAAGAGTTGTGCCTCCAGCCCTGATTCTTGCATATCAGCTATACATGCTAAACTGCTAAGTGCCTCCCCATGTAGCAGGTGGGCTGGGAGACAGGGACAAGAGGCCAGAGACACCACAGCTTGCCCTCCCCAAGCTGTGGGCAGAAGCTACAGGGAGCCAAGGTCTGTTTGTCAGTTGTTCCCAGTTGTGGTTGCTCAGTGGAAGCCTCCCGTGTCCCTCCCTGGAGGGCTTCTGAGCAGAGCTTTGGTTTCAGGAGGAGGTGTCATGGGAGCTGCTGGACGCAATGCAGCCCACGTGGTCATTAGGGACCTCAAGAGCATGTGACATTGGAGCAGCTCTAACTTGAGCCCACCTGCCCAAGATCCCCGGTTCAAAGGGTACCATCGGAGGCAGCCAGTTAGCAAGGTGCATGCCATTCTTTCTCAGGCAGTGCACAAGTTACATTTATCACAAGCTCACCTGTTCCCCAGACCTCCATGAATGAGCTGGGTTGTTGTATTAAAGACAATGTTTTATACAGAGAGTTTGCTTATGTTTTTTTCTATGTACTGTTAGAACTATGTCATAATAAATGGGAGAAACTTGGCATATCAGCTAGAAACAGTCAGGAAACATCAGTTGAGGGTGACTGCAAAGTGGGTTCAGCTAAAGCTGTGTGGGAGCCACCTTCCTGATTTCAGAGTATTCTACCTCCTTTTTGCCATGGGATAAATCTGCCATGTCACTAAACCTTCCAATATAAACAGGTGTCATTCTTCAGTGAGTTGGGCTGTCACTGTCAGTCAGAAAGAATCATAACAACTGTTCCCCTGGTAATGCAGCTCTAGAGGCAGCCTCTCAATGTGGGGCCATAGCCTCTATGCCAAGTCATCCCCTCTGTAGGTGAGGTGGAAGCTTTCAAGGGACCTCACACCTAACCTCACCTGCAGAGATAATCATGGTTATCATTTTACAATATTTCCAATTAGTCTTTCACATAATTGGGATATATTCTAATAGCCTGCATGTGGTTTATATCTGTCTTTTAATTTACTTCATATCATAAACTCTTTTCGGTCTCATAAAAGTTCTTTTGAAAAATTATTTTTAATAGCTGCCTAATACTTTCGTGTGAGCATGAACCATAATTTACTATGAACACTGTTCAAGCCTTGGCCTTGATTGCTAATTAACACCAGCTTCCTGGCAAAGAGCTGCTCTTGGGTAGTCCTCCTCCCTCTAAAGTGTTTCTACCACGACTGGCTCACAGGCACAGCTGCTGTCCATTCAGACATTCCGGCTAACAGGGGAGGAACTCGGAGGAGGCCAGGGGAGAAGAAGGGAGCTGTTTAGCTCTGTCAGGAAGAACTTCCCACCATTTGGAGATTCCCCACCGGATGTCTCACATCTTTGAAAGATACCATTTGGTCCAGATGGAGAAAAGAGATCAGGCCTCAGCACTCTGGGGTGCCTCAGTACCTACAAGGCCCCAGCTCATGCCAACCCACTGAGCAGGGTGGGTTAGTCTTACCCAAAGTGATGACTTCACAAATTGGCCATGAATCAGGCAAACAGGTCCCTTGCTGACTTCAGCACATAAAATTCCTATCAGGATAAACAAGTCAGGGTCCTTTCTTTACCTGATTTACAGCTGCCTGAGTTCCCAAAGCAAGAGGGAACACTTCCTCCCAAGAGCAGTTTAACAACCTGAAGAGCACAGGAAGTTCACCTGGCCAAGTCATTATGTCACACAGCAGCAGTGACAGTGACCAGAGGCTCAGCGACATGTGAGGTTTATTGCTCCTGAAGGGATTTGGCCCATTCTGGTGGGAGGAATACCAGATGTGGCTGAGAAGTGGTGGGCCTTGTGAGTTTGCACAGCAGCTGACAACCTGGGTCTGTGGGATGCTGATAGCTCTCTAGTGGAGGAGGCTAGGACACAGGACAGAGACCAGCTGAGCACAGAATGGCATTTGGGTGAGGCTAAGAAAGGATGGGAATTAAATGAGAAAACAAAACAGGAGAAATGTACACAGATAACAAACCTGGAAAAATATATAACGTTGCCTGGAGTTAACTAGCTGTGATTAAAGTCAGATAATCATATTTTACCTGGAAAATTTGAAAACACCGTGATAGAAAATTACCAGTGTGGACTTCCCCTGATTCTGTCTGAATTGTGCTAGCTGTGTAATGCAGGTTGTCAGATCATCAGCTCTACAACTGGCCAGATATGTCTCTGACTAATACCAGAATGTAGAAGATAAGTTAAATGATATGGAACAAAGGACATTTGCTTAATATGCAGAAATCTTCCAAAGCAATGCTTAAGAAAAAAATAATATGGTGGCACACACCTTTAATCCCAGCACTTGGGAGGCAGAGGCAGGTGGATCTCTGTGAGTTCAAGGCTAGCCTACTCTGTATAGTGAGTTCCAGGGTAGCTGGGGCTACAGGAAAACTCTGTCTCAAAAAAGACAACAACAACAACAATAACAACAACAACAACAACAACAATAATAATAATAATAATAATAAAAGAGACTGATAAAGGTCTGTACCAGTTGGCCTTTCCTACTGTTTGGTCATTCAGGACCCACAGAGAAATGTAGGTGACTCAAATGCTGTCATGTGCAAAGGGGACGATGGTGCCTGCCTCACAGAGGGGATGTAGGTTATATACCACATGTAACTTACCAAAATATATGTACCAAATGACCCCGTGGTTTCACTTCCAGGTAGTGACCCAACATCAATGCATATGGGAGCCTATCCTAAACACACAGATGAGTGTCTCTTGCAGAAAAGGTACAGGACCAAAGTGTTTCAGAATTCACTTTTCTAGATTTGGGAATATTTGTATAGTCTGTACTAGTTGAGCATCCCTAAGATGAAAATTGAAAACTTGAAACTTTTTGAGCATCAGCACTCCAAAAGTGTTGGGTTTCCAAACATTTGGGATTTTTAGAATTTTCAGATTAGGGATACTCAACCTGTACTAGTGAACATATAGCAGCACTATAGTACCTCCAAACTGGATGTTCATCAACTATAGAATAGATAAGTGCATACATTCATGTGTTAAAATGCCACTCAGCAATGAGAATGGACAGTCTAGATCCACAGGCAACATACTAGAGTGAATCAAAGCCAGGCACAAGATAATTCATGCTATAGGATTCCACTTGTGAACTGAGCAAAAACAGGCTAAAGAAATCTATCTTGTGGGGCTGGAGAGATGGCGCAGTGGTTAAGAGCTGACTGCTCTTGCAGATGACCCAGTTTTGATTCCCAGCACCCACATGGCGGCTATGAACTGTCCTTAACTCCAGTTCCAGGGGAATCCAATGCCCTCTTCTGACCTCCACGGCATTGTACTACACAGGTGCACTCACAGGCAATACACTCATACACATAAATAAAAATAATAATATATATGTAAAGAAATCTATCTTGTTTGAATTTTAGCTTTGAGGATACTAGGACCTTGGGAGAAGCCAACAGAGAGACTTGGGGTGCTGGAGATATCTGCAGTTTGATCTGTGTTATGGTTACACAGGTAGTTCTGCTTCCTAAAAGCTGGTTCACACTTAGAAAGTTGCAGCTTCCTTTGTGTGTGTGTGTGTGTGTGTGTGTGTGTGTGTGTGTGTGTATAAAATATATTTCCAGGGACTGAAGAGATGGGTCAGCAGTTAACACCCAGGTTCCATTCCCGGCACCCACATGGCAGTTGTCCATAACTCCAGTTCCAGGGGATTGGACCCCCCCTCTCCTGGCCTTCTGAAGGCATTGCTCACATATTGCACTTACATACATGTTATTTTTGTTAAAAATAACAAAATACTAAATTTTCTTTTCCATGAAAATGTTTAAAAAACCAACGTGGTACCTGAAGCTCAGCTGATGCTCATTAGCATCCTTGCTTTGCAGCTCTCATTTCCCATCAAACCCTTTGTCTGAATCTAGACTTGGAAAGGAAGATGAAAGAGAAGAGTAAGAAAGGAAAGAAAAGCAGAGAAAGGGAAAAGAGATGTGGTAGAAGGCCTCAGTGTTCCCTACCCACGATCCCTACTTGGAGCCTGTCTTGTGCAATCCCTTCCCTTTGAGTGTGACTGAGACCTGTGACTTGCTTCTAAGGAACAAAATGATAAAGGTGACTGAATGTAGGCAATTTGGTCATATAAGGTGACAGCACACATCTTCCGGGATTCTCTGGCTCCCTGTGTAAGCAAATAGCAGGAAGGAAGACAGAAAACTGACTTTTCTACAGAGCAAGCCGATTTATTAGAGAAGAAACCCGACAGGGCACATTCCCACAGCCTGGGGGTCAGAGGAGGCGGGCACCTCCTGGTAGCCCAGGGTCCAGAGGAGAGCTCACCTTCTCTTCCAGACTCAGGATTTTTATATTTTTCACCCTTCAGGGAGAAGGAGGGGGCTGGGGACTGAGGTGCTGTCATATTAGACAGGTAGGTACAGGGTGGTTTGCCCCCTTAGGAGGCAGTTCAGTCATGTAGGACTGCAGTCCAGTGAGTGCCCTGTGATTGGAATTACATCATATCAGAGAAGTCCATGAGATGGGGGGCGGGGCAGGAGAGACACAGCCTTCCAGGAAAGCTTGCAGGGAGTGGTGACCATGTGAGAAGCATTCAGGACCTTAGAGTTCTCCTTCACCCTGGCTCTCTGGGCAGAAACCCAAGTGGAAAGTAGCTCTAGCCAGCCTCCAGGTGACAGAATCTGTCAGTCTTGTGCCTCAGAGAAACATCCCTTCAACCACATGAGAAGGGACATGAATGTCCCATCACAGCTTCCAGATGGAAATGGGGCCTGGCCAGTTCCCTGTCTACTACTACACAGAGAGCTCAGCTAATCCATGTCTGGATTCTTAAACAATGGAAACTGTGTGAAAACAACTGTATTGTCTGACACCACTAAGTATTAATTTGTTACAGAGCAGCAAATAACTAATGCAAGGGAGAAGGCCCACAACCATGACCGCGATGGGAAGAAAATAGGTCTGATTGCAGGAATTGAAATTGTGCCTCTAGATTTCACAGTGACCCTGGGGTCTGGACCCTGTTAGTGGCTGGCCACCTGTCCTTCAGGAAGGTAAAGTCTGGAGTTAACCACCACTAAGGACAAAAAGACAGAGCATCCAGGTGTGAATCATAGTCTACTACCACAGGACCTCTGGCAGTTCTTTGCTCTGCCAACTCTCAGTTTCTTCTGTGACTAATGGAGATGGTGACATTTTGCCTGAAAGAGGCACACACAAAGATCAGTTTCTTAATTCTTTATAAAATTATGTGTCATTGCACTCAGTAATGGACCAGACAGAGTAAGAAGCATATAGGAACCCGCTGGGCCCACCTAGAGGAAGAGAACAAAATGAAAGACATCATAAAGAAAAGGAGAAAGTCCCCTCCATTGAGGGCACAGGGCACCCCTCTATGGGAGGGACCCCAATCTGGGAACTTCTGTACTAGAACAACACACACACACACACACACACACACACACACACACACACACACACACCAATAAACCACACAGACTCACACACATAGATCAGAACAACAGGACAGGAGAAGGAAACAGGGCAGCTTGGCAAAGGCAAAAGTCCATGTGAGCTGCTGTACTGTATTTCTGGTCCAATAAATCAACCTGCCTTGGAAGGGCCCCTCCAACCCTGTGACTGTAATTGGAACTGCCTTCCTCAGGGCTGCATGTTATGTTCAAGGTCAGGATACAAGCTCTGGTTTTCCTGTCCAGCATAGTCACTCTGCACCTACCCTGGGGCAGGGCTCTGCACCACCTGGAGAACCAGCCAAAGGTGAGGCTGTCTGCAAGTTGCTGAGTGGTTGGGAGAAATAGGATGAGGCTCACCTCTGATTGCTCTCCCCTGTTGAATCTCCAAAATTCACTTTGACATTCTATCTGGACGCTGACTCTAAAACTAGTATCTCCAGTCAACACACTGCAGCCGAGGCACCAACCTCTATGTGATCTGATCGTAATCATGGCAGCTGCTGTTTCATTAGCTCTGATCATGTACCAAGCCCTGCACTGACCAAACACATCACCTGAATTACTTCACTTAAATCCAGAATAAACCAATGTTCCTTAATAATGCATCAGTGTTCTACAGCTGACAGTTGGCAGCACAATGATTTTAACTAGTTGGCTGGTAATTGATACGGTCAAGATGAACTTGAGGTCTTTCTTACATTAAAGGTCATGTTCTAAGCAAGAAGCTACACTCTGCCCCAACTAAGGGTATTGGTTTCATGGTCACCAAGTCTCACAGTGGTTGACCAGTTTCTGTGCAGGGCTCTCCACCACTATAAAGCAATGGCCCTGCACAGTCACAGTCCAGCAGTGACGACAAAGCCTACGTACAAGGATTCTAGACAGCCCCACTGTGACGTGAACTGCAGGAGCACACTGGTGGGTTGGAGAGACAGGTTTTGTGGTGAGCTGCCATGAGCTGGAAGGGCCAGGAAACATTTCTTATAAAGCAAGAGCTCAAGGGAGCTTAGGAGTGGACTAGACTTGGTGAGTATGAAAGACAAGGAGGGCTTTGAAGCTCTGATGAGACAAAAGCAGGGCGGTAGGAACTGAGGGGACACACAGCTAAGAGCACACTGTGGGCTAGAAGAGGGTTTGTAAAGAGTGACCACGGGCACATGGCTGGGCACGAGCTTCAATCCCCTCAGAACCTGAGCCAGGCTGAAGGGGGACTTCATTACACAGGGGGTTTTACACATGTTGGAGGATGTCCAGTCCCTTGGCTGGTCTAAGTGGTCTTATTCACAGTATTGGCAGAGGGTGAGGGCAGACTCTAGCCTCTGCCCCCTCCACAGCTCTCTCCCAGAGACTTCAATGAGCTGTCCAGAGGCAGAAGTACGTTAGAAATGGGAGCTTGTTACCAGGAAGCTAGAACAGACCTTCAGCCTGTCATACTCCACTGCCTGCTGAGCCAGAAGCTCAGTGCTCAAGGTACAGGTGTCATGTAGAAGCCAGTGTAGCTCTCTCTGTAAGAGAGTCTGCTGTCAGCAACCAACACACAAGCGGTTCCTTGTTGACTTCTGACCAAGGTAGGTGAGAGACTCTGGCCTGGGGCTGGACTGGGAAAGCCTTAGTTGGAAGTCCCATCTTGAAAGCACTCCAAGTTTCTCTCTCTCTCTCTCTTTCTCTCTCTCTTTCTCTCTCTCTCTTGCTCTCTCGTTCTCGCTCTCTCACTCTCACTCTCTCTCCCTCTCTCGCTCTCTCTCACTCTCTCTCCCTCTCCCTCTCTCTCGCTCTCTCTCGCTCTCTCTCTCTCTAGCTCTCTCGCTCTCTCTCTTTCTCTGCTAAAGAGGTTTTTAATAGCTTGTAAGTGATTCT